ATGGTCAGGTTGTAGTCGCGCTCTTCCATCGCATCGTTGACAGCGTCGACAAAGCGCGAATAATGTTTTCCACATTGCGCAATGTAGTCGGTACCCGCGCTTGGTGCGGTAGGCACGTTGTTCCCCATGATCTGCGAGACGAGCTCGGCGGCTTCTTCATTGCTATCCTCGAGCGGCTGGTTCGCATACGGGTCGGCTTTCATAATCAGGTTGATGTCGGCTTGGAGCGCGGCGAGCTGGGCCCTGTAATGACTGTCCCGGTTGTCGGAGAAGGTAGCCATCATCTCTGCCAGCTTCTCGGCGAGCATGTTGCGCCGTTTGTCGCGTTTCGAAGGCTGTGGTTGAGGGGATGTCGCAGAGTGACCCAGCGGAAAGTTGTCCGCTGGCGACGGACTGCCATTTCGAACCATGGCGATAAGTGATGCCCTCGAGGGTCTAGGAGGCGTTGATCGTCTAAAGCAGGGTAGTCGCAGCGCTGCGCGTATGCTGGGGTCGGTTTGCTGCGTTGGAAAGAAGTTGGAGTCAGCTCGCTGTATGACACTAGGACTATGACAAATAAATCACAGCTGCGCGTTTGACGAAGCAGTGCAACAGAGGTGTGGACGGCGGGATGTGGTTTGCAAGAGCGAAGGGTCGGCAATCGAGCATCACACACCTGCCAGGGTCTAGCGTTCAGGAACCGCGCTAGGACCAATTCGGATGAACCGAAACCAAACCTACCAAAAAGGCCTGTCTCTACGCCTCAGGAGCTTGACGTCACGCATACAGACAACATTAATTGTGAGACTATGATCATTTTTCGTAGACAGTTGGAACGATTCAACACGTAAGAGCGCCATTCGATACGACCGGAACGGGCCCACTTGAATTATATCCTATAATGATCAAATCCTAAAGGAGTGACGTCTTCTCTAATACCCTACCTTCATACACGCTGTGTTTTTTCCATTACCCTACTCCACTTCGTTGTACATCTTCGCCTCGTTCGTTGTACCCTCCGCAGCCATGATCGATCGCCTACCGACACCACCATGCCCAGCCATCGTCCGCATTCTAAGCTCTGAAGCGTCTTGCAAAGTCGTCGCACAGCTCAAGCGTCAGGGTTGCCTCGCCGTGATAGTGTTCAGTGCCCTCGGGCCTGTGATTGCCGACCCAAACAATCTCCGTAACAGGCAGACCGTCGGTGTTGTGGATGCGAAGCTTCTCGTCTTTGAAGGCTAGAGCGTTCGGGTCGTCGTGAGGCGTGTTGCTCATGCTGTACCACAGATCTTCTCCATTCAAAGAGTACTGCAGGTTCAAGATTGGCTTCTCCAAAAAGGCGTCCTGCTTAACGACCTGGATGCTGACGCCAACGTTGTCGACAGCAGGTTTCTGTGCCTCGGTGGATGTGTCGCCGGGCTGAATCTCCTTCAGCGGAGTTGCATCCTTCTGAACGGTTGAGACCCAAACAGAGTAGTGGCACTTGTTGTTGATGACGATGTCGGCCGCGAAAGCGGTGTTCGCTATCAGGGCGAGAGACCCGATGAGAGTTGGGATATGCATCCTGGCGATGTAGATCTCGAGATCAGGCTGGAAGCGAATAGAAGATTTGGTGATGGTGGCTTGATTGTGAGGAAGCTTGAATGAGTTGCTTGAGCTTGCCTCTATACATACCGTCCCTCTGACCCTTTCTTATACATAGCGAGGACGTCTTAAAAAGCCAATTGTACTTCCTTCCGGATTTGTGTACGGTATCGCAGCCAAAACTAGAAGGCGCTGCTATCTGTACGATGCTGCGACCCAAACTAAGGTGGCTGTGTCTGATCGCGGATGTGACGGCAGGCCATCTCCTATGGATATCTGGATGATCTCATAAATCATGTGAGGAGTAACGTGCCCGTTATAGCAGAATGACTTCTTGAGACTGCAAGGTAGGGTTGAGCCCCGCTTGTCCGGCGTGGCACAGCAGCTAATATGGCGAGGCAATCGTTGTATTACGATGTTGACGCAGGTACAATCGTGCAGATACCCGTACAGGCGGTGAAGAGATTTTGACGACGAATAGAACAAGAGACGGACAGTAGGAAGATGACAGAACAATTTCGAAGCAATCGTCTCCGGTATGAACGCGTGACCGCCGGGAGCTAACCGGTGAGCGAAAGAGAATTGCGCGTCAATAAATGTTGTGGTATCGAAATATCACAACGCGTAAGACGGGTGTCCCTACGACAATCCTGTCAACTGTCATCATGCGGGTGACTGTGCTCGATCAACAATTCCCTGTACAAACACATGATGCTAGCTTTTCGAAAGAGTAGGTGGGTCTTGGAGTACAGCTGAGCTCTAGCAAGCCAATTCATAAGGTACACCATACTGCGTGGCCGTCGTGGTCACGCGTGGCTATGGTGAAGAGCAGGTTCGTGACATGTTCGCGTTTGTGACATATTGGCTGGGGTGAAGCATGTTTGCGTTGTACGAAGTAAATCTTTTTCAAGATGTGACCGATGTAGTCGGCTGCGTCGACGCTGGACTTGCAAAAATTCTACGGTAACGTGACATAACGTAGATTGAAGCTTGGAGGTCTGTCGGTTCACCACTTGGTATGGGGAAGGAGGAGAGTTCGAGAGGGCGACTAAGCCGGGCGGTGCCGTGTGCTGCCGAACCTCGGCATAGACGTCAGAGCGCGTATCCTCCACATCCCGCCGCCCGCATCTTAGCCACGGAACTGTTGCCGCCATGTGACAACCACGCTTCTGCTCGTTAGAGTCCTTTTCTCCGCATTCTGACCGTTAAACTTCGAAATTTGGAAATACTGTTTTCCAGCCATGTCGTCTTCTGCCCTACGCACATCCATGAGAATGGCTTCGCGGCCTCAACAACGGCTGGCCAGCATCCAAAGACAGTTCAGCAGCTCTGCGCCGCAGAGGAAAGAAATTCGCGATGCATACATCATAAGTGCCAGCCGAACACCAACTGCAGTGGTTAGTAGACCATCATCCCAAGCCATGGCAGCTGCTAAACAACTCATAGTTCAATGGCAACTTCACCACCGTATCCGCGACCCAACTCGGCGCCACAGCCATCAAGTCCGCCCTCGAAAAGTCGAAAGTTCCGATATCCTCGATCGATGCCGTCTACATGGGCAACGTCCTCTCCGGAGGCGTCGGACAAGCACCAGCGCGTCAAGCTGCCATCTTCGCCGGCCTACCCACCAACATCGAAGCCACGACCATCAACAAAGTATGCGCATCCGGTCTGAAGGCAGTCAACATCGCTGCCTCGACTATCGAGCTCGGACAAGCGGAAGCGCAAGTGGCTGGTGGCATGGAGAACATGACGCGAGTACCATACTACTTGAACAGGGCGAGCCAACAACCAGCATTCGGCCACCAGAAGCTGCAAGACGGCCTAATCGCCGACGGACTATGGGATGTCTACAACCAGATCCACATGGGCAACTGTGCGGAGAACACAGCCAAGAAGTACGAAGTCTCAAGGCAGGACCAGGACGACTACGCGATCGAGACCTACAAGCGCGCACAGCAGGCATACAAGGACGGACTCTTCAAGGAAGAGATTGTGCCCGTCACTGTCAAGTCGAAGAAGGGCGAGACCATCATCTCCGAGGACGAGCAGTACAACAAGCTGAAGCTGGACAAGGTCTCCACACTAAAGCCAGCCTTCGAGAAGGGACCAGACGGCTCAGTCACGGCAGCCAACAGCTCACCTCTCAGTGACGGCGCATCAGCTCTGATACTAGGAAGCAAGGAAATCGCCCAGAAATACGGCAAGGACAGCCGCGTACTAGCAAAGGTCGTCACCTACGCCGATGCCGCTGTTGGTACGTACCCCCATCCTCCTCCCACCACCCACCCTTACTAACATCACTTAGACCCCATCGACTTCCCCGTCGCCCCCGCCTCCTGCGTCGAGAAACTCCTCAAGCAATCCGGCCTCTCAAAGAACGACATCGCCATCTGGGAGTTCAACGAGGCCTTTGCCGCCGTCATCAAGGCCAACGCCAAGATCCTCGGTCTCGGCACCGACAATGTAAACCCAAGGGGTGGTGCTATTGCGCTGGGACACGCGCTGGGTAGCTCTGGAAGCAGGATATTGGTTACGCTGCTACATCAGCTGCAGGTTGGACAATATGGCGCTGCTGTTATCTGTAACGGAGGTGGCGCGGCGTCGGGTATTATTGTTCAGAGAGTCAGCGCGGATCAACTTTAGAGACGTACAAGAATTATGGTATGTAGATCAAATCATAAAAAGGACGACCATAGATGCTACCTAGGCCAAAGAGAAGCCTCTTCCACAAGAGCAGTGTTATGATCCAAGTCCCCCATGCATCTCCTAGCCAAAAATTCTCCTTTGAACACACCTCAACCCCAAGACTTTCCCACCTCCATGTCGCACAACCCAGCAAAAAAGAAACTCGACGTTGGCCAGACTCGAACTGACGCTCCCTAAGGAATTAGATTTCAAGTCTAACGCGATAACCACTCTAGAAATCCAGAATTAGTAAGCAGTATGTGATGGGGATAGGAATGGAGCTTACCCGCCACAACGCCAGGATGATGTTTGGTGATTGATGATGTCATTTTCAATTTCATAGTAAATAAAACAGAAAAATCAAGAGGGCGAAGAAGGATGATTGGGAAGTAAGATTTAGTCGTATGGGATTATGAATTGTAGGGTGGAGTATGCGGTGTATTGGCAGCTACGTGTATGTGGTGTGATGGGTAGGTGCGTTGTGGAACGCCGGACAATGACGATAGATTATGTAAGGAGACAAAAGTGGTAATGAGAATAGCGGAAAGGGATGTTGGGGGTATAACAAGGGATATGCGATGTAATTATGATCATTAGATCTTTATCTCTGCGTCAACCTTGGCTGCAAAAAGCTAAGATGTTTTACCCCGAGTGTACGCCTGCATTCCCGAGCCCGAAGAAAACAGAGAATTCTTTCACCATGTGGAAGGAACATGATCATCAAATGACAGCCTGAGAGCCCATCAACCTCATACCTGGTTAAGACCCAGATCCATATCCGTATCCAAATCCATAGCAAAATCCATATCATCCCAGGGCATCGCATCAGTACCCTCAACACCCGCCATACCAACACCAGTAGTCGTAACAGGAATAGTAGAGTCAAAGTCCGCGCTGCTCGTTGGGTTCTGGAAATCCTCTGGCAGTTGATCCCACGATGGGAATTGGAAGTCGTCGACAGTAGGCCCACCCGCAGTCAAACCGTCAATCATGGGCTGTTCGCTAGCACTGGATGTGAACGGCGCCAGATGCGCAGTCGAATCATCGAGCCAGTACCTCCTCTTCGGTAACCCAGCAGTCTTAATCGAGAAGCCGATCTCGCCTTGCTCGCCGCGACAAGTACCGGCTCCTGTGCACGCGAGTTCTGAGATGGGCTCACAGAAACCTAGTAAGTTGTCTGCGCTCGAAGTCGTCGTGATAGGCGCATACGATGCTGGTGAGGTAGGCGATCCGGTTAGTCCTGGTACGCTGTAGGGTGTTTGGCGACCCGAGGAAAGTTGTCGCGCATGGCCTTGGACGGCGCCTACAGAGCCGGATAGCGCGAATTCGTAAGATAGGGCGCGCAAAGGATCGTTCTGCGACATTGAGGTGCAGGCGAAGTTGCTCACGTCGAAGCTTGGATCTAATGCGGAGCCGTAGTTGATGCCGAGATCTTCGAATATTTCGTGTTCTCCATTGATGTCTATTTGAATGTCAGACACAGTTGTGAGGCATACAGGAATAGACTTCACATACTCTTTATTGGGGTTTGGCAGTTGATGCCATGTGCTTTCTTGAACAAGTTCAGCCATTCGGGGTTATCCGCAGATGTTTGGTTCCATGGATCATCGTCATCATAGAGGATACGACGGGACTCTGCTTGTAATACTTCGTCGGTCAAGTTTGCGGAACCGTGCTTTGCGATGTGCTCTCGTGCGAAACGGCCCAGTTGTAGCGTGAGGATCTCCCAGCAGGTTGCGTTCGGGTTGTCAACGGGGGCCTTGGAAGGAGAATAGTCTTTGGGTGTCGTCAGGACGATGGGTCCAATAGTGGAGGGATCACTGCCAGGCTGGTATGCTGCAGACAGGTTGTTCGTGTAGTCGATATCATCAACGTTCGGTAAAAGGTATTCAAGGTCCTTATTATCAACGGACAGGTTAAGCTGCTGTTGACAAGTCAGCCTATTGTGCGCAGTCCACATGATCGCCACAATGGTACGTACCTTGAGGCTCGCAGTGTTGGATGCTGAGAACGGGAATGGCGATTTGCTTTCGTTGGCGATGAGATAAGGTGGCATCGCGTTCGTGACATGGATAGCGACATGAGGGTCTAAGCCCCTGCATCCCTTCCAGTTCTTCATGTGTGCACCGTTGCGGAACTCTTTCGCCAAATGGTCGAGGCGGTCTTGCCACTTGTCAAAGTTCATCCCGCAAAATCCGCAACGAGATTTGATGTATTGCGCTTCAGACTTCCATGTGTCCATACTGGAGATCATCTTGCAACCGTGCATGAGTCGCAAGTGTTGTCGAAGATGGTCTTTCCGGTAGAATGTTCGGGATTCCGGGCCCTTCTCGTAACAGGCGGAGTGGTTGTGCGTGGCTAGATGGTCTTCGCTGGGATCTAGCTCATCGCAGTAGACGCATCTGGGCTTTCCGGTAGCTTTGTCGGCGACAATCTCACCAAGAGGTGCACATAACCACTTCTCCAGTGATAAGTGAAGACTTTTCTCGTGCCGTGACCTGTGAAGTGTCAGTTTGTTGTCATTTGCCATATTTGCCATATTTAACATCCGCATGGTATCCTAGTTGTAATGACCAAACATAAAAAAGGCCACTCGACGAGAACGTGGGATAGCGGAAGGACGACGATGCGACCAATCAGGCCTTGACTTGATGTTGAAGGAATTTGTCGGCTTCAGAGTGGCCATTGCCTCGCGAGAATGCAGGAACAAACTCACCAATCATATTTGGACTTGAATGTGTCAGTGCAGAACGTGCACTGGAAGATCCGTTGCCCTTCGTCAGGACCAGCCTTGGGCGCTCGGGTGGGAATGCGACGACGCCTTCGCCTTTCCTTGGACTTCAAGCTGTTCAACGAGCCCAGGGAGTGACGCGAACCATGCGAGTAAGCTGAGTTGTGAGATCCAAAAGAGCCAGACGACACGTTGGTAGGGCGGGTCTCCAATGAGGAGATAGAGGGTGCTCTGAACACAGAGAAGCTTCCGGTGCTATCATTAGAGATATCCTTGCGATAGCTACTACTCGAGCTCTCCGTTTGAGGCAGGTCGAAAGTCTCAACAGCGTGCGCGATAGCGTTCATCGGCGCAGGTTCGTTCTCAGGAGGAGAGTGCTTCCATCGTTCGAACGGATCTGTCGAGAGTTAACCGAAACATTCCTGCTGCTGAAGCACCGGCATTTGAGCCATTGTGCTAGTGTCTGGGTCCCTGTCTCTATCCTCTGAACGCCTGTCACCCACACGAAAAGTGATGAACTTTCCGGTGGAGGACGAAGCCAGAGTTTTGTGCGATCTTGTGAAACCAGACTCGGAATACGTACTCATGCTTTCCCAGGTCTTGCCTGCTGGGATGTTGATAGCTTCTGTTGATGGTCGAAGACTTGGCGAAGCGCTTCGCTTGGGCCGAGCCTTCTGCCTTCGCCTTGTGTTCGCCATCCAGTTGGAGATTTGGCCGACCGATAGGCCAGTCTGCTGCTTCAGGGTCTCCTTTTCTTCGTCGGTCGGGTATGGGTGTTCGATATGCATGAGCATCCAGTCTTTGAGCACCTTCACAGCCGCTCGTGGAAAGCGAGCAGCTGCAGCACCCTTCTTGGGACCTTCGTCATCCTCCCTTCCATCTTCGATCGGACCTAGGTGACCTAGCGATCGCATCTGCTTCTTACCAGTGAGTCCACCGACATGTCGAATGTCGTTCTCTGCCACGACGTCTAAGGTGTCCAGCGCAGTCCTCTGGCGCATACCTGGCATCCGCTCAGGGTTGCTGAAGCTGCATGGTCGAAACAAAGCGTTGCATGGCGAACATCCGGGTCGCTTGGAGCCATCGGCGTTGAAGATAAAGCATTCGAGAGATTTCGATCGACAGTACTCGCAAGGCTGGACAGCCTTTTGATAAGTCGGAATCCAGCTACTAAAGTTCGTATTGAACTCTGCACTTGCAGGTTGGATACTGTCGGAGTTCTCCAGCTCTCCAGATTTATCATCCAGTAAAGAGCTAGTTGGTGTCAGAACCATACACGCAGAGTTTCGCAATTATGAACCACTATCCTTGCTATTCTGCAAGTATACAAGTATCATGACGGGGTATATGATTGGACGGGATACGCGGGGCACTCACTTCTGGGGTAGTGCCGTCTCAGACACGCCGTAAGAAGCTTCTTGTGACACGTTGGGCATGCCTGTTTCGCCGAAATCGACAAAGTCTGCCATATCGAAGGCGGCACTAGGCGTCGCCATGATGGTGGCGCGTGGTCCGGCTTGCAAGATCAATCAATCGTATTGGTTAATCGTATTGGTTGGTGCCAATGGCTCGTGAGGGGAAAGAAGGCAAATGCACGCCCTCCGTACGGATTTGACAATAAGGCGCAAGATGTCGTTGCGGAAGTATGGTTGCTAAGTATGACTGCTGGCTTGGACTCATCTTTAGGACCATGCCAAAGAAAGCACTGCACACTTTCTATAGACGCTAAACCGTATTCTGAAGGATGTCGAGTTGAAGGGCGCAGTCCGTGCGCGTGCAGGATACAGATTAGCCAGTCTTGAGCGGCCTAGTCATCCGATAGAGAACGCGTTCGTACCGCTGAGTCATTAGCATGACATCGCGGTGTTGGACACTCGATGCGGAGGCTGGAGGTAAACAATTGACCAGGACGTATGTACAAATTGATGGAAGTCGACGTCGTTTTAAAGTCTCCTACACAGTTTTGCGAGGATGTGAGACGTTGCGACAGTCCAACAATACAAAGACGCGAATATTACCGGGCTATTGAACCCCAGCAAAGCTGAAGCTGACATACCCCACATCGGTTCTGCGCGATGCACGAACATGGCGGAAGTCATCCTCTAGCTCTTGTGGCAGGTTTGCCATTGGTCGTCGAGGATCTAGAAGATAGCAGACCGTTTGGGCGCACTGCATGTTGGAATGGGGTGCCGCTCCAGGCTCGGAAGACTTTGCGGAGGATGCGAAATCGGCAACCGCAGCCGTCACGTATCGAAATATGCACGCCATGCAGCAAGCGGTCAACTGGCACCGTTCATCGGAGGTTTGCGAAGGTCGGCGAAAATTTGAACGTAGGGACCGAAGGATTGGCGGCTGTTCGGGAGGACTTGACCCGTCCAGTACGCGGAAGCTGTCGTCTTGAATAGGGCCCAGGCTGTAGAACGTGATAATAGTTGTGACCTGACGTCCAAGAAGCGCATGGAGTTTCTCGTTGTTCTCACGGATGAAAGAAGCTAGCTTTGGCAAGAGTGACGCGTGACGTCACGAAGCCTGCCGTGTTAGGGAGGCACCTACAGAATATAACAACAGAACATCTGTCAGGCTTAGTGGTCGGCAAACGCATCGAAGGGGCTCTTTTACTTTGAAGCTGTACATGACTTCTGGAGAAATCGTCTCACTCACTCACTCAAAGTACGGGTATTCCACGCACAGGTTTCTCCATGCCCTGGGTCACTCAGCCTACCTCGCGTGCCAGGAAGTCCAACCGATACGGAGCATCGACCGCCCATAGATCAGACACACATCGGAACGAGCTGAGAGTAGAACTGACGGTGAGTCGACATCGCTTAATGCTTAACAACTCAAGCAAATCGCGAATAGCGCATAGGTGACGCCCTAAAGCACCCAACCATCGGTCTCACGTTGCTTTTCAGGTACCACAACGATGCATATCACTCACATATCACGTCTCTGATAGCTTTGGATACGGAGCACACTTGCGCTGGTCCTGATCGGAGAGCATTGAGGGGTCGGACAAGGCTGGAAGCGAAGGCGGGGTAACCTGATGCGAAGATCGAGTACTGACATGTGCCACGCAGACACATCCATGGATTCACGATCAAGGCTGTCCTCCATCACCATAAGACGGTGAAGCATGTTAGTCGACATGTGCCTAGCTTCCGATGGACTCCTCGGACTCTGGACTGTTATATGTAGACAGTCTTGGCATAGCGCGAGGTTGGGTGTCGAGCGGACCTTAGCGATTCTGCCAACTCATAACGCATCCGCACGTCTGTCCAATACATCAATCCGCCCATAAGCTGCCCGAAGCTAGCCAGTCCCCGTCACTGGCATCCACATTGCTCGTCATGTAACATGTCACTTGTCACCGCCTGTGCCTGATTACCCAAGCGCGAGCATCCGCCTAGGGCTTGTTTTAAACCGACGATACTCCATACCGCAGCCTCACTCTGCCTCTGCAGCGAGCTCCGAGGCAGCTTCTTAACGTGTACGGCCCACTCTGGACCGACGATGATTAGCAGTGGCTCACCAATTTGCTACCCACGAAATGGATGCAGCTCCCAACTGTGCCATCTGCAATGCGCCGCCGTATCCTGAATGCTCCTGCGAATCGGAGCGGCTACAAATAGCCGTCAAGCAGGCTGAGGCGCGTGCTATGGAAGATCGCATGGCTGAGATACGGTATGATCCAGATCCGCTCCTTGAAGTACGTGCTGACCATGTGTAGAGACTGGGTAATCAACAATGCGCGCCAGCATATCCTCAACGCATTCGAAAGATTGACCTCGACACGCAAGCAAGCGCACTCATCATACCTAGCCTCCCTCCCGAACTACGAGGTCTACATGCGATACTCTGGCCACCCGCCGATACACCCCATGTACGTTGCGACGTTGCAGACACAGATCGCAGAGGCGCACGCGGAACTCAAGCGCGGTATCGACGCCGACTGGCGCGCATCGGTGCTGCGATATCCAGAAGTGCTGGACTACTTCTACAGCCTTGTCGAGCTCAGACTGCCGGACGATCGCTCTCGAGAAGTCGTTGAACCACCCTTCGCCGCGGCAGGCTACGCGGATGTAGGGTATGGAGTCAAACAGAAGAAGAAGAAGCGACGGGAGAGGGAGGGATCAGTGCCGCAGCAACACATGGCTCTCAGAGTGATGCGTGGAGTGCCACCTCCTGCTGTGCCGACTCCGCCAATCCACCACAACGGGTCGTATCCTCGGCCGCCCGATCCCTACGGATACTAAATCGCTGGACGTCTACTTTCTTTCCGTTTGTTTTTTATGCTCACTTCAGAACGTCCTGTCACGTTCACTGGAACGGATGGTGGTGGGTAGTACTGCTGTTGCAGGCATAAGAAGCTTTCGAAGCAATGAAAAAAATAAGGAGTGGCACAGACATACTGTCACATGTACTGGTGCTATTGAATTCGGTCGCGTTTCTGGTATTGCGACCGCTCTATATTCACAAGCGAAATCAAGCATAGCGAGGAGTGTTCTTTCATAGGAGTTTCATTCACAGCGGGTACTATCAGATCTTCAACATGTCCCTGAGCCTAAATCTACTCCTATAGTCTTTTCGAATACAATCAAAGTTCGATGATTCTTTAGTATGATGTTGGGCGATAGCGGATGGCACATCCATGGATGCCTCAGGCACCTTCCGCTACGTAAGTCCGTGCACCCATGGTTTGGAAAGTCGCGACTTGAGCTTGTAGAAATCCTTAGACACATCACCACCAACCTGACCACACAAATTCCGCACGGTACCACGCGACTTACTGAGTAACTTGACTGCCGCCTGATTCTGAACAATCGACCGACACATACACGCGATCGCAAACGGCGTATTTGACCGAGTCGCCCATCATGAGCGGAAAAGCAGGCGCATACGGAACGTCTGGCGGCGGTGACACAGACTTCAGGAAAACATGGGATCGCGACGAGATGGCGCAGCGGGCGAAGGACAGGGAGGCAAAAGATCGTGAAGAGGGCAAAGAGCGATATGAGGCCAAGCTGGCGGGCAAGACGTACAGGCGGAGAGCGTCCACTCCGGATGATCTGAAGCAGACCGAGGCTAGATCGGAGCGCATAGACTGGAGCAAGATGATCGGAAAGCAAACCCTCACATCAGCAGCAGCCGCTGTTGGCAAGAGGGGACGTGGTGCGGGCGCATACTGTCAAGCCTGCGACCTTACATTCAAGTACGTTTCTATTGTCGCAAACCTGAAATCTATGAACTATGCTAACAGCCATCAGGGACAACATCCAGTACGTCGAGCATCTGAATAGCAAGCAGCATTTGGTCGCAACAGGCCAGTCGGGCGAGGTCCACCGCGCGACAGTCCACGAAGTACGGGAACGCCTGCGATATCTCAAGCGCAAACGAGACGAGGACAAATTTATGGAGGTGACGGATCTGGATGCGAGGTTGGCCATGACCAAAGAGCAACTGGAGAAGGACGCAGAGGAGAAGAGGCGGCTGCGCAATGAGAAGCGCAGGGCGAAGAAGAAGACGGACGCGACCGCTATGGAGTGGAAGGTCGAGGGCGATGGCATCATCCGCTGAACACCATGGGCTCTCGATCATCATACTACACTTTGGCACGGAGACCGATCAATGCGCATATGGGAGTCTTCTATAAGCCTACGTCGGGCTGGTTTCTCGGAACGCTCAGACTGCATCGTCTTCGGAGCTTGTAAGAAACCGCCCTGCCCAGCCCTGGCGAACCGCATGCACCACTAGGCACAGTTGTCTTCCGCCGATCTTGCGGAGCTTTCATGTTAAGATTCGGTCATCATGCAACGTTGTCTTCCGCCGAGCTTTCGCTCATCAGGCATCCAACCTTTCATGACACGGAGGTCCGGGCCAAAAGGCTCGGAGGTTAGGCGCACGACATCGCGGACGGCATACCCCACATATCAGCATCACCCCCGTCCCAGCACACCGGGCGGATGCTGATTTCTAAGCCCAACACCGAGTTGCGATATTAACCATAGCAACATAAATAAACACCGTTTCTCTCAGAAGCGCTTCTTAGTTCTGCATCAGTCAAGCTTCACACTTGGCATCTCTTGTCGTATCTTCCGCGTTTTCTCCCCGCATTCTCAGCCGCATTGTCACCTAGCGCTGACATCATCTTCGACGTTCTGCATCAATCGCTATGGCTCAAGTCAATGGAAATGCGCCCAAGATCACGCTTTACACTAATCATCGCTGTCCTTGGGCGCATCGAGCTCATGTGGTGCTGAAGGAGTTGGGGCTTCCGTATGAGGAGGTTATCATTGATTTGGGTAAACCGAGGGAGCCGTGGTATCTTGAAATCAATCCTGTAAGTTTACGTCTGCTTCCATATAATTGAGTAGTACTAACACCCTCAAGCGCGGCCTCGTCCCCGCCATCAACTTCAATGGCGAAATCATCACAGAGTCCGGCGTCGTCGCAACGTTCCTGGCGGATGCGTACCCCTCACATGTTCTCCCCGCATCTGGCACCCCAGAAGCAGCTCTGACCCGAGCGAGAATCAGCTTCTTCGTCGATACCTGGTTTAGCAAGGCCGGAAGCTTCTTCTACAAGATCCTGATGTGTGACTCCAAGGAGGAGCAGGCAAAGATGAGCCAGGAGTTTGTGGATGTTGTTACCAAGGAGATCGAGCCGCTACTGAAGGACGCGAAGCCATTCTTTGGAGGTAGCCAGAAGGTCACGTTGGCTGAGGTAAGTACATTGTCAGACGATAACGAGCGACGCTAATACATAGCAGGCTCTGACGGCACCTTTCATTATCCGCACATACGCCATGGCTAAGCATGAACTGCTTCCGAAATCCATCATCTCTGGCCTCGATGCACTACCCAACTTCTCCAAGTGGGCCGCTGAGGTCAACAAGCAGGAGAGTGTGACGTACATCTGGGACGAAGAGGCGGTTATCGATGGGACAAGGAAGAGGATTGAGAGCCAGAAGGCAGCTTCCAAGTGAGCTTACACGATAGTACACCATAAGACACGGGATGACCATAGCAAGATTGTAATTACGCACAAAAGATGCAGCTATCTACCTATCTACACCTTTAAGTATGATGTTTGCCAGACCGCCTGATATTGCTCATGCAGGGATGCTTGCCTGATGCTATGAATTTTCTTTCTGGTGAAAAACAAATAGGGGGAAACAACGCCGAAGAGCGACACCGAAGCGCCAATAGCGCGCCTGAAAAGTCAAAAAGCCTAGCTGAATGCAAATCGCTTAACGAGTGCGCCTTGATATCTTTGAAACGAAGAAGCCAGGCTGGATGCAGGTTGCTTAACGAGTGTGCCGACGATGCGCGCTGGAAAAGCTACGAGACGTCATGGGCTGACGGAAAAGGAAAGCACCACCGGCGGTATTTTAGTCATCGATATCGCGAGGAAGGTGGGGAACACCGCTCCTAGAACCTCGAACCACAACGCGTCCGCTTCGTCGGTGGCATCGTCTTGTCTCCAGTGCAGAGCGACAACAACATCTCCGCCGCCCTGACATCATCGCGATTATGGTCGTCGTCGCCACCGGACACCTCTGAACCGTGCGCGCTGTCCACCGTGGTAGCTGTATCGGGACGAGTGACGCGGTCGTCATAAGAGACTTTCGAATGTGTCCGTTTCGCTCGAAAGCCTTCAACGTGGTACTCGTATGGAGCCGACGTTGGCGTGAGTAAACCCGGAGGCGCCTGAAAGCTGATTGGCGAGCCCAAGAGGGAAGAGCCGATTGTGCGTGGCGACCATGGAGACTGCGAGCGGTTGATGGGCGTGAACTGAGTGCGAGGAGACACTTCAGGCGAGCAGAGATACTTGCCATGCCGACTAGTGTCTGTCCCATACCCGCTCTCGATATCGGTCGGTCGCGCGCGCCGTTGCATGACCAGGTCCTCCTTGCGCAAGGGCGGCTCGCAGTGCATCTTCGGTGTCTCGATCAGCGACGATGCGTCGGGCTTGGGAACAGCATACGCAGGACCAAGCTTCGCGAAACGAACCGTCTCTTGCGCGCAGAACTGCACAATGGTCGGATCAATGAGGAACTTCGCAAAGCATGGGTCCTTCGGATGCAGACACTCGGAAGGAAAGTCGTTGCCGAATACCGGGGTGAGTGCCCATCGAATGTCGTAGCAGAATGTCGCTGCTATGGCTTTGGCTGCATGGTACGGCATCCAATAGCCTACAAGAAGTCAGTACCCATATCCGTATGACTGCTATCACAACAACTGACCTTGGCAGACCAGAGCTCCACCGGTGATACTGTAGCTGATGTCCTTCAGTCCAGGGTTCTCTCTCAGCGCCTTGGCCGGTATCGTCTGCACCAGTCAGTCTCCTCTTCATCTAGTGGGCTGGTCAGCAACCTACCTTTGAATACTTCAACGACTTGAAGAAAGGCGTCATGCGAACGAGGCCGACATTGTAGTCCCAGACAACAGTGTACTCTTTTTCGTCATCTGGTCTCTTATACGTGTACTGGAACACTAATCCCAAGTCAGCATCAAGCTAGCAGGAAGGTGTGCAGAACCTACTTTCAAAAGCTTCTCGTCCAGTCTTTTCGTGGAAGGCCTTCTTGTCGCTGTTGTACGGGATGTGCCTTACACCTTTCCTGGATATCTCACCCAAAGGATAGATTTGGAACCTGCGATGCTGGTGCAATAATTCATGGTCTTCCCCGGCCTCGTGTGGTGGGAAGTTGACGTTACCGACGGTTCTGTTACCTTCTGAAAAGATTGGAGCGTCCTTCGGAATCTTTTGTCGTCTTGGCTCTGAGACTGCAGCCACTGGATATGGAGCTGGCGTCGGCGAGTTCGAACTGCGGTGGTCGTCGCGGCCACCACAGATAGGGTTCAGCATTTGCGATATCTTCATCATCAGGATAGCTTGCGAACCTTCCGGTTGCTGAGACGAAGACTGTTGGTGCAGGTACTTTCCGAAAGGTACCGGTACTTGGCAGGAACGGTGGACTTGAAGACGCAAAGACCAGGTGGGAAAGCGAGACTAAGCTGCCGTGGAACGAAAGATCGACTTGGAGTGGAGAGGGTTTGGGTGGCAGCGACGGGTAGAAGAGGCTGACGTCTTTTTCGTTTGCGAAATGCTCACGAGGACGAAATGAGCACCGTATACCTCCGGCCAGTACGGACGTGGATCGAAGGCTACCAGACGCTTGCGACAAATCTTCTTACAATTAGCAGACCGCACCAGATACAACTGACTGTCGTTGCGACGTACGTACTGAGTTCGACTGAAGAGAGCCCGGGCGACGACGCGCTTGATGGAGTAGATGATGGCGAGGAGACGTGCGCTACACGTTGGTGATGACCCAATACGACAGCAGTGGCTCCGCCCAACAAACGGAATGATCTCGTGGCGATTGGATGGACCTCGTGTGGTGTCCAACGGACACTTTGCTCGGCTATCGCAACAGTACCAGTCGACTAGTTACTTTGACAGACAAGTCAGCAAGTGTCAAGAAGAGGCGATCGTACAGATGCTGTCGACCAAGATGAGATGCAGGCCTTACCAAGAGTAGGGAAACGAACCAGGTTATCCTCTCGGGAGAGCTTTCGGCTAATGTCACTAAGGAGGATGGTATCCTGGGGCAAGGTACTTGTGCTGTACACGGCTTCTTAACGGGTCAACTCATGCCTTCACTTCGGCCCGCTAGTTGCTCAGTCCTGGCGACGCACTTCGCCAAAGCTTGTCCAAGCGCCTTGCAGACTACGTCCGGTGTGTAAGTGGACCAGCGTCCACACTACATGGCTTGCCAGGTTACGACGTGGTGGATCCATTCATTGGACCAAACGGCCGTTGCCGAAAGCAAGTGCTGGGATCTGAACAATGCGATAGTGAAAGAGGGATCGAGGGGATAGCGTCGTACGGCATCAAACACAACATCCGCCCTGAACCCTGCATCTGCACCAGGGCATACATGAGTTCCTTTGTCGAGGAGACATATGCGCCGACCAAAACATTTCCAATGAGCTCGCGGACGTGCGAGCTGGCAGCGCTGAGCAGCTCAGCAACTCTTCAGCCACCGGCGGTATCAGCGGAGGACGTGGCATTTTGTGCTTCGTGATTGGCACCTATACATATCTCCAGACGGAACATGGCTTGTGGGAGGCTAGTCCATCGCTACGTCCACACCAGCGGTATCCGCTGCTGAAATTACTTGGCGATTGTACCACCACGCCGCATGTACCTGGTCAGTCCGTACGAGTGGCATGCTCAGACTGAAATTGTTCCCGTGCAATCCTTCTGAGAACACCAGATTATTCTGGCATACTCCCTGTCGGCCTGGCATGAAAGAACCGGATCGGTGCAATGTTTACCTGCAGCGTCCCGTGGAAGTACGGCGCACGTCCCTCCTGGCTTTCGTTGCAAACGTGGCCCAATTCCTCACGTATCTCGGATATCTGCACAATTGCAACTCCGTTGGAACCTGTCATTGGTGCACACACTGTCGGTGTGTGTTCAGCCTTGCTCCCGTTGGCGATACTCGAGATACGGTATACAGCATAGACACTGCTGGCTTGTCTCTGCAACAACAATCTGTCTACCGTCAAACATTGCAGGCTGAATGCAATTTCTGGATCAGACATATCTTTTTCTTCGTAGTGAGACATGGCGCGCTCTAATGCAAGCCCTTTCACTTGCCTGCGACGCGAAGTCATTCACAGTGGACTCTCGACGGGCCCTTGCCTCACCGGACCTTTCCAAACAAGTCGCGTTGTCACGTTCGCTTTGACATATGGTCGGATTGATTGCAGGGCTGGTCACGAAGAAAGGCGGTGTTTATGTCTCAGTACAGACCGCTCAAAGAAGACGAAAGCCAGGTTGCTGCACCAGCTGTCGCGACCCGTGACCACAGCTTGATGAGAGTCGTCTCCAGGGCTCTTGTGTATTTTTTCGTTCTATTTCCTGGCGAATCGGTGCCGTTCTGCAGAGCAGCTTGGATACTTACAGCCTTACCCGCTGTCACTGTGCGTGGCCGGCGGTGGGAGATTCGAACAACTCACACTGCCTTCCGGTCAAAGAAGAGTGACTTCGTGAGATCCTAAGCGGACTCGCTCGAGCTCGTTGCGCTGATTGGGCCAAGGATCAATGCATTATGAGGATGATGGTCATTCGCATGGCGCTCAGATGGGGAGGAGATGGGCGCTTGCTATCGATCATTGTGCATGTGCCCAGATTCTTTCCGCTTCCGCTGGTTACACAGAAGCCGTCACAGTGGGATGACAGTCGGCTCGAATTACCTCGATCAGCAAGGTCTATTCAGGGTGAAACTGCGGTGCGGCGAGCCCAAGTTGGAATTGAGCGGCGAACATCAGCAGGTACAGAGCCATGACCAGCGACCTCTTTGAGTTCGCACCCAATTCCGAGTCCAAAGCTATGGCCCGCATCGAGCAAGGCAAAACAATTTTGTGGCGAAGCCATGTCTTGGTGTGATAGCTGTGTCTATTGGACATGACGCAGGTGAATAGACATCTCAACCCGGCCACACGCCATGCTGAGCGCGCGCTGTGGTGTCGTCGCAGGACCAGCGTCTAAGAGAACTGGTTGTACGACAACGCTGTCAACATGCTTGTACCTCTGATGAGCCGTTTTACCGTACGCATCGGCGCCGTTGGTCGTCCTCCCAGAGTTGACCAGGGTCTGCCATGAGTAATGAAAGACTAGAGGAAGCATGCACTCCATCGCCTCAAGCTGTTCACCGCATCAGCAAGCACCAGATGCACGAGACAGACTACGAACAGCATCGAGGGGACAAGTCCAAGAACCCATGCGCAAGTCGAGCGTATCCAGCGATGCGTCTGTTCAGCACGACATGTAGTCTCGTAACACAGCTACTTTTTAGGTGGAAACATCGGATGTGGTGCCTCTTTGGGTAGAACCAGAAAGTAAAATGCGCGACAACGTGTCGATAGAGGATGTACTGAACTAGTCGTGCCTCACGTACTCAGGCGACGCGTACATCCTCAACGCATTTGTTCCATTATCTCTCAACTGCCTTCTCATGCAAAGCATGTGCCAAATCGCGACACGACTATCATAAATTCATCCACTATACAAAAACCTCTCTTGGTTTTCTTGGTGTCGATCAAGACTATGAGACACTGGCTCACCCCAGTATTCTTGCTTTCACCGATGTTGTCTTCACGATCGTTCCACAAACGTCACGGCACGCACAAGAGAAAAGCCCGTAGCCCTTCAAGGCTATCTCAAAAAACACAGCCTGAACGGTACTCCGCCCCCTCTGGCGCATCGAATAGTACGACCAAGCTGTCAGAATTGCCTTTCCTCGTGCCCGACGGGTGCCGCGTTGGGACGTGTCTCACACAACCTGACGATGCGGAAGCAAGAGTGCAGTCGGTCCGCTGCCCCACCAAACCACTCTTGCACGACGGACTCCTTAATTGCCATCTTGTTAGGCTTTCCATAACGCAATCTCACGATCGCGCCTGGTAGTGCCTTTTCGCTAAAACAAGAAGGAATCAAGGATGATCCTCGCATTGTGTCTATGAGAAAGCACGACTTCCGGTTAATATCTCAAGAACGACTGTCAAGGAGCGTTACAGGTGACGAATTGCGGGCACACAGCGTCTTGCGAAAGGACGTTTGGTGCACATAGTAGTCGAGGGAGCACGCTCTGTACCCCGGAGAAGGTTCTGACTGACAGCTGCGGTGATGCAATCAAGCTTTGTGGCGCTTTCCACACGGTAGGACGACTTACGACGACACTCGAGCAGCAGATGCACGTTCAGTGAAAGCAGCAAAAGCATGCGCGCATCACCACACCGATACTCGCTTTACTAGCTGCACACCGGTGTATTGGTTCTTGAGAACGCAATTCGATGCTCTCAGTGCGACAAGAGGAGCCTCGCCCTGCCCCTCTCGGTGTGCAACAATTGAGATAGGTATCCGATATCGATACCGCTGCCTATCTACTAGGTCCATCTTCACGCAACACTACCCATGTCCGCTAGATGCCTCCGCGATCTCCATCTATGGTGCTAACATAGTGCCCGAGGAGTAGTCCACTCCATTGACCTGGAAACCCAGACGGATCGCACGAACCGATGCCTGTTTCTAGTCGCCGCGATCAAGCGAGATCATTCACTCTATTGGATTCATCGACGCCGAACCATTCAAAAAGGACGGCGAACAACTACAGGGAGCTTGCATGCACATGGTCCTTGGCAA